CGCTGTGGGTGGCACCCCAGCTCTGAGGGGAGCCTAATCCTGATGCCCACCACAGGTGACCCCTGGCGCTCCCCCGGTGACTCTGGGCTCTTACACCTCCAGGTCCTCTCTACCCGGCACCCGGTGCCAGAGCCCTGACCTGTTCAGCAGGTGTGAGGAGAGCAGCCTGAAGGTCACCTTACAAAAAGCCATAAAAACTGAAAGCGAAGACATGGAACAACTTATCACAGACGCTGCAGACAAAATCAAGCAGACGAAAAATAAGCCTAGTTAAGTTTCAACCCAGCAGAACTGCGGAACTTAAAGGGAACACGTGTAAATGTCTCATAAAACTGAAGTCTGAAAAGGGTGGTATAAAACGGGAACAAAATAAAGAGCGACAAAATACAAGACAGTTTCCATCAGAAGTAACCGATCTAATAAACACACTAACTGAACTAAGCACAACAATAAAGGATCTCGGCACCAGACAGAGACCAACAACCGAGGGAATCGTGCGGTGAGCGCACAGTGTCAGAGGATACACACGTGGGGCGGCAAGGAGAAAGTCATTCCGCTGCGAAAACAGTGTACGACAAGCTAAAGAGAAATGACATCTGTGTCATGGGGGACCCAGAGAGAGAAGCGAGAGAGAAAGGTATAAAAGATCTATTGAAATAAATAATGGCTGGAAACCATTTCAGCCTGGAAATACAGCAGACGTTATGCTCCCAGAGACCCAGCAATTCCAGCCAAAATAACACCAGACAGACACCAGCACACGGTAGAATAAAACTGCTGACAGCAATGAATAGGACAGAATATTAACAACAGCAAGCAGGAAATGGATAAGCTTTATAAGGAGCACCAATTAGACCGTCAGAGGACTTCTCGGCAGAAAAATTGCAAGAAGCAGGGCATTATGGAATGACAGAGATTTCCTGCCTAGAATCGCTACCCACAAGGCTGACGTTCAAGGCACAGGGAAGCAGAAGCGCTTTACTGAAAAGCAAACGCTGAAAAAATTGGTCAACACCAAGCTGTACATGAAGGAAGAGTTGAAAGGGTTATGACAGAGCAACAGCACAACAAATGTGGTGGTCGCAGACACCGAACCTATGTAATAGAGAAGGAGGGGAGGAACGATGTGACCTGGCCGGCTGAGTGTGACCGACAGTCCAGTGGGTCACACAAATTATCTACCTCTTCTGACTCAGGAAAACCTTCAGACGAAAGTCAGTAGAAATAACACCAAAGACAACAGAGATGGAGGCCTCCCCGGTCGGCTGGGGGTTAAATCTCAACACTGTCACCTCTGTGGCCTGAGTTCGGTCCCCGGCCAGGGAGTGACCCACGTGGCGCGGCAGACCTCTCCTGTCTCCCACTGCACCCCTCGGCAGTGTCGTCCAGGAGGTCCGCCTGCTCTGCCCCGCTCTGTCTCTGGTGAATGCTCTCACCCCTGCACCCCAGGCCTGCACCCCAGTTCTTCTACACATACATCTTTTAAAAAAAGAGACAACAAAAATGGAGCCTAAAAAAATCATATGAGAAAACTCAAAAAAATAAAAAGACAAGACAAAGTAAAAATAATAATAACAAAATAGCAAAATGGCTATGAACACACGTTGCAATGATGATCTTAAATGCAAAAGGCTTAAATTCATCAGCACAGAGTGACTAAATGCACTTGAAAACAAAGTCCAACTTTCTGTTGTTTACCCGAAACCCATCTTACCGACTTAGGGGTGAAAGGCTAGAAGTCAGTGCTAGAAGCAAAATGCAGTAATATATATATATTAAAAAAAGTCAAGAACATACACATATCAGGTAAAATAGGCTCTCCACTTAAAAAGGTGATAAGAAAGAGGCTGTTACACTCTGAGTAAGGTCCTAATGCAATAAGCAGAATCATAAATAGATACGCATCGAAATGATGCAGCACCCAGCCCCAGACGACAATGGCAGAACTAGAGCGCTATTGACGACACAGTCATATAGGGGACTTGCGTACTTCCTTAGCGACGGGCAGACCAGCAAGACAAGCAGCAAAGCGGAAGAGAAAAGCCTTAAATGAAGAGCACAGTAGCTCCAGCACGTTTGCGGGGCGCTCCACCTCAAAACCACTCGATACAGGTTTTTTGTCAAAGGCACATGGAACACTGTCAGGAATGGGCCCCACTTTGAGAAACAAGTCACTGCTGATTCAAGTCACTTGAAATTCTATCAGGTACTCTCTGACATCATGCTGGAAGTCAAATCCACATCATCACACCACCACCACCAGACAGGAAAAGCAACACATACATGGAGATTGGATGATACGTGCTCGGTGGCTATGGAATAAAAGAGTAACTTAAAACAAATAAAAAAGACCTTCAAACTAATGAAAATGAGGATGTAAGCTGCCAGATTCTACAGGATATAGCAAAAATGGTCTAAGGGGGGAAGACAGAGCCACATTAAGAAATAACAAAATTTCCCCTAATTAACCTGATGCTATACTTAACACAATTTGAAAAAGAGGGAGAAGATCCAAATCTAGTTGAAAGAAGGAAAAAATAAAACAAAGCAAAAATAAATGGTGGCAAAAAGAGACTACCAAAAAAAAAAATCAAACTAAGAGATCTTCAAGGAGATAAAGTAGAAAAGCCCTCCTTAGGCTAAAAAACAAAAGAAGAAAGAAACCATGAGCAAACAGAATCAGAAGCGGCAGAGAAGACACATCACAGCCGGCACAGACGTACTAAAGGTCATAAGCGATTACTGCGAACAGCTATACAGCAATAAACTTGATAATCTTGAAGAAAAGGAAATTCCTATAGGTACACAATTTTTGAAGACCAAGCCAGGAAGAAATTGCACTGGGTAAACAGATCACAAGCACGGAAACTGAAAGAGCAATAAAAATTCTTCATGGAAATAAAGACCCAGGACCAAAGAGCTTTACAAGTGAATATGCAAACTTACACAAGGACTAATGTTCCTCTCCAAAATGTGTTAAAAAACACGTGGAGCTCCCTGGTCACACGAAATGATAAATCTCAGCCCTATGAAGCTGTCTGCAGCCCCTGAAGCACCAGTTCGATCTCGTGACCCACACGGAGCATCAGCCCCCTCCTGTCTCCCCCCTGCTCCCCTCAGCAATGTTTCAGTCAATCTGTCTGCTCTCCTCCACTCTTTCTCCGGTGAATCCTTTCATCCCCACCCCTCACCTTTGGCCTGTACCCCAGTTCTTTATGCATAAGTAAATAAATATTTTTAAAAATGTGTTTAAAATACATTTTACCAGGCCAGTGTTACCCTGATACCTAAGACAGCTAACGTCAGCACAAAAATCATAGATCACGATCCCTTTGAACACTGATAAAACATCTTCAATAAAATACTAGCAAATGGAATTCAACAGCACATCACAAAGATCACACATCACAATCAGGTGGGATTCACCCCAGAGAGGCAAGAATGTGTAATAAAAGGAAGTCAGTGGGATATATCACATCAACAAAAGTAAAGGTAAAACTCACATAATAGATGCAGAGCAAGAATTCATTTAAAATCAGCACCCACATACGAAAACACGCTGGGAACGCAAGCACCTGTCTCCTGCGGGAAGGCCGTGTGTTTTAAACAAACTGTTAACATAACACTTAATTTGAAAATAGAAAAAAATTGCCCTCACGATCAGGGAGAAGACAAGGGCACAGTCACTCTATGTAACTTACATGAGAGGCTTGGGCACCATCAGCAAGCAGAAATGGGAGGCAGAGGGGGCCCAACGGGAAAAGAAGGCACCAACATCGCCACTGCAGGTAAGACACAATAAAGTCTTGAAGGACCCACCCACAAGGCGCTCAAACGAGAGATGAATACAGCAACGTGGCAGATTATAAACCCTGGCTTCAGTAACGCCATTTGCGCATAGAGGAGGGGGCGGCCCATGCTCAGAGGGGACCCACATGCCGAGAGGACTCGCCTGCCTACAGCCATGTGCACACGTCACGGGACCCCATCAAAATGCTGGCAGTATTTTTCAAGGAAACTGATAAAATATCTGCATTTATATGGAACCACAACAGGTCCTGACAAGCAAAAGAGAGAAAGGGGAGACGCCTCGGTACCCAGAGCAACAGCACTAACACGTTCACTGGCAGGACGGGTACCTGATCCCTGGCTAGAACCAGAGCAAGGCCATCCCGGTAGCTAACCCACCATTTGTAGTCCTCACCAGGTGGAGAAGGTGAGCTTTGTGCCTAAGTGCAGGAAAGCTGAACGGCCAGACATAAAAGGTGAAGGTTGACCACGCGAAGGCCACACATTCACTCCAAATGGATCAATACTTAGATACAAGACCTGCAACAATAAAACACACAGAGGAAACACTGATGATCCATTCCATGGTGTCAGCAAAAGATACTTTTAGTGACTCGATCAATATGACAAGGGAATTAAAAGCAATAGCAAATACCTCGTTTTGTTTTTTTTTTTAAAAAAACCTACACAGGAAAAGAAAACACAAAGCTGACACCCTATTGAATGGGTGGAAATAATCACAGTGTTTTACTAACAATTACTAACAAGGGGTTCAGATCCAGATGTATGAAAAGCTGGTGCAGACCAGCCAGTTCACAAACGGACAGCAGATCTGAAAGGATAATACACCAAACCTATTGGAATGGGCCAGAGAACGTGACAAACGTGCATGCCACTTGTGATGAGAGATGCAGATGTAAAGGGCAATAAGCTGTCGTCTCGTACCCAGGAGAAGGTATTAGTTAAAGAGATCCCCGAGAGCCAGCAGTGGCGAGGAGAGAGAAAAAGGAACCCCAATCCCACGTTAGTGGGAATGTGAACCGTTGCAACCCGGGTTAATCTGAAGGTTAAAAACCGAAGTAACATGGCCCTGGCAATCCCGTCGACCGCACACATCCCCGGGCTTGGCAGCTCCGGGCACTCTAGCGCCAAACAAGCCCCCCAGCGCGGTACACGTGCCACTCTTCAGAGCAGCTGGACCTTGGGGGCAGCCAACCCCCTACACGGACGGCTGGACGAAGCTCTGGCCCCAGCCCGGGGAGTATGACTGCCAGAAAACGGACGGCAAAACGGACGGGCGGGACGGGAATCTGGGTAAACGGGATGATAGGAGCAGCGACGCGCACAGAGCAGGCGCCGCGGCGGCGACGCACGCGGAAAAGCCACTGCACCTCCGAGGGCTCTGCGGTCAGGGCGAGGCCAGGGCAAGGGCCCCGACGCCGGCACCTCGGAGCGGCCAGGGCGAAGCCAGCGGAGCTCGTCCGCGCCCACCGACCCTCGCCCTCACCGGCCGCAGGGCGCTCGGCCAGCGCAAACGGGGGCGGGGAACCGGGAAGCCAGTCAGGAGGGCGAGGAGTGGACGCTGAGCTGGTGGGCGCGCTGTCGGAGCGAGACAGGAAACCAACCAACATGACGAAACAGCCGAGGCGGGGGGCACGAGGGCGTCACGGGCGACCGGGCTGGGGGCGACTCCTGGGAGGGCAGACTTCGGCGGCGGGGCACGTCACCACGCCACACGTCACCATGCCACACGTCATCCCGTCAGTCACGTCATCACGCACGTGAGTCACGTCACCACGCCACACGTCCGTTTTTCAGACGAGGAAACCGTGTCGCAAGCTATGCGGGACCGACCCGTCGGCTTCCGTCTAGTAGGCGGCGGAGTCCGGGTCCAGGCTCGAGGCGGCCTCATTCAGGCGGGGAAGGAGAGTGCGGGGAGCCCACGCCCGGCTCCCGCGCGGCCCCGTGCTGCCTCGTTGAGGTCTGGTGTGCGAGTCACCGTGCGCCAGTGTCAGTGGTGCAGACGCCGGCTGTGGTGGCCGCGTGTATTTCCAGCCACCGCCTCGACACGAAGCAAACCTTTGTCGTGGCCCAGACAGCGCTCTCACTGCTGCGCCGTCAACCCTGGCCTCGGGACACCGGGGACTAAGACGTTAGTGGCCCGTGCACTGAATTCGGTGCACAGCTCGCCGTCGGGGGGCGGGTGGAGGCCCAGGGAAAACCGACAGAGCCCAGAAATGAACCCATGCCCATGCCGGTCTTTGCAAGGCCCGAGACTATGCAGTGGGCCTTGAGTGAGTCTGGGCACACTGGAGGCCGCGATAAAAGGCTGACGTTGGGTCACTCTGTGCCGTGCATAAAAATAATGTGCAAAGGGATTAGCGACCGAGATAAAACATACAACAGTAAAATGCATAGAAGAACATACTGATGAGCTGTCTCATGACATCACTGACAAAGGTGTTTTTGAAGATTTGACCCCTGAGGGGAGAGAAATAAAAGCAAAACGAAACAGTTGAGGTACCTCAAGTTAAAAAGCTGTTGAGCAGAAAGAAAACTTCAGTGAATTGAAAAAGACACCCACTGAAGGGCAGAGCAGGCTACACTCTGTCACTGACAAGAGTTGGCACCCGAGCTACAGAACAAGCTTGAAGACTCACAAAAGAAAGACAGCCCTGCCGGTAAGGGGCTGCACACAGTTCCCCAACGAGGAACAGTCCGGTGGACTCATCTGACCACATGGGAAAATGACAATCCCCGCTGCCCAGGAGACCTGGCAACGACAGGCCAGCCCGCACCTTGCGTGTGGCACGGGTCTCAGGCCTGTCGCCGCGGGTGCAGTCAGTAGAGAAAGCATCTGGATTCGCCGTCAAAAACTAGAAATGGAAACGCCGTGGGGCCCAGCAGCCCACTCTTGGCCGTTTCTGGAAAGAGCGTGAAACCACCAGTGCGAAATGGCACGCGCCACAGTGTTCCCTGCAGCACTATCTCTGCGAGCGAGTCAGCACCTGACACCCTTAGGTGCCCGCTGATGAGAGGCCTCATCGAGAAGACGTGGGCTTCTGTGAGACACTCCTGAGCCTCAGGGAGAGACTACGAATGTAAATGGTGCCGCTGCCGCTTACAGCACAATGGAAGGAGCCCGAGGGAGCGTGTGTACGGACCACGTCACACGACAGGGACAGGTGTGAGGCTGCGTGAGACGTCTGAGGATGACAGGAAGGGGTGGGACACGGTCGGGGACAGAAGAGATGGTGATTGTGCGGAAAGCAGACTGCTTTTTATCTTTTTGTATTATTTAGTAAAGCGTTTTTAAAAATCTGAATTTAGATCATTCTAAGATTTAGAGAAGGGTGAGGTATATATATAAAATGATTTTGAGGCACTTTCCTAATATTCAGAGTGAAAGCACTAACAAATAAGGGAATAAGTTTGATGGACTCAAACGCAACAATTCACGTTTGCATAAAGTTTATGAATTTGAGATAAAGTCCTAGAAATTTGAGAGAAAACCCTTAAGGTGTAGGTGTGAGTTAGGATGCAAACAGAGGCTTTCTGAAGAGTTGAAGATTAACAGGGAAAATGTTCATAGTCTTGGCTGAAAATATTATTTGGGATTGAGTTGTTTGTCTTTGAAGAACTTTCTGAAGTATATAATGGATCATCTGACCAATTCACTTTAGGTTTCTAATATTTCAAATATACAAGTCTCTCTCTGAAGAGAAAAGTGTTCATAACAAATAACAATGTAGGTTCAAGTAACTTTGATTTCCTTGATAAGAATGACTTTCTGTAAAAATGTATGCCTGTTCAAAAAGAACATTTGAGGGCCCTCCCTGGTGGCACAGCAGGTTAAAGCATAGCAATAAGAAGCTAAAGCCACTTCAGCGTGAGTTCGATCCCTGCTTGCCCCGGAGGTGACCACATGGCGCGGCAGACCTCTCCTGACCCGCCCGCTGCACCCCTCAGCAGTGGACTTCATTGATCTGCCTGTTCTGCTCCCCGCTCAGTCTCTCGCCGCCCCTGCACCTCTGGCCTGTACCCCAGTTCTGTATGCATAGATAAATAAATATTAAAGAAGAAAAAAAGAACATTTGAGAGGTAACTGGGTACATGTGAACATGGAATATTAGATGACATTAAGATGTTAGGTTTATCAAGTGTGATATTTGTTATGTAATAATATGTATTTATGGAGAAAAACTACCTACAACATATGTCTATGAATACATATGTCCACTACAAAATATGCCGATGAATTAAAACAATACAAAAATTAAAACTAAATATCAACTTCTCAATTCACCGCTGTTCCCAAAAGTTCATTTATTTGCCATTAAGATATAATGACAACTCCAAAATAAAAGGCAAAGGCCTAACGTGAAGTGACAGAACATTAAACTTTCAGCCAACGGAAAATTTTAAAGGCAAGAACCACTATCCTATATCAGCTAAAGAAGACTTTCAACCAAACATGACAACGAGAGACACAGACGGAATTATGTACTGTTAACGGGGTCAGCAAGCAGACGTAACACTTACTAACTTGTAAGCAGCCAACAGAGGCGTGCCAGACACATAAAGCAAAACGAGAGGCCTGTGGGAACGCAGTGAAGCAGCGCAACACCGTGAGGTGAGTTTGACAACCAGCTGGAGAACAGACGGCTCAGCCCATAGAAAAGCCAACGTGGAAATGATGGCCTTACGCGCCGAGTTCAATGAGATGGCCCAACAAGGCAACAGAAAACACATTCTTCAGGTGCTCATAGGACCTTCTCAAGGTCATACACTATGTTGGGACATAAAACAAGTTACAAGGAATTTATTAGAATTGAAATATATGACTAAATTATAAAAATATATATTTTGTATCATGATATAAAACTAGAAATGAAGAAAAATGAGGAAACCACAGATTTGTGGAGAATACATACTATATTACTGAACAACTATTGGGTTGCTGAAATCATCAAAGGTGAAATATTTAAAAACAGACAAAAGTGAAGACAACATTTATCAGAGCCTATGGCATACAGCAAAGTGGAACCAAGAGGGAAGTTTACAGCAACGCAGTCCTACCTCAGGGTACAAGAAGAATCACAAATAAAAGTTCTTACTTTATATTTAAATCAACTAGGAAAAAACGAAAAATGAAATCAAAACTCGGTAGAAGGAAATAATTAGAGCAAACATGAGCTAGCGCTAAAAGCAAATGACATGAAGAGTCGGTTCTTTGAAAACAATCACAGAATAGGCAAAACCATCTCCAGACTCAAAGGAAAAGATAAACACAAAACCAGAAGTTAAAGACAAGTTCTAACAGATACCGCAGAAATGCAAAAGGTCACAAGACACTACTAGGAATACTTACATAGCGACAAACTGGACCATCCAGAAAAGATGGACCCATTTTTAGAGCCATACAACATCTGAAAACTGAATCAGGAATAGAAAGTATGAAGAAACCAATCACGAGAAAGGAAATGGAAATAGCGATCAGAAGCCTCCCCTCCCGAAAGAAGCCCCAAAGCAGACAGCGTCACCAATCATTTCCCCAAGCTTCAAAGGAGAAAAGCGATGCTTTCAAATTCTTCCATTAAGTTGAAAGAGCAGGAAAACTTGCACACATGTTTTATGAAGCTGTCATACCTTGATTCTGAAATCAGAGATCACACACACACAACACTCTAGACCGATATATATATCAGATGTATATATATATAAGAGAGAGATAAAAGAAATTAAGACAGAAAACCCTCAATACAATGTCCAACAGTCAAAGAGTCACCCACCGTGACAACTGGATCGTTCCAGAGAGGAGCGCACGAGCCGATCAGTGAGTGAGCACACCCGTCGACAAAAAGACCAGACTCCTACGGCCACCTCGGAACGTGCAGAAGACCCAACATCGTTTTTGATAAACATCCTCAGCAAAATGGAATCAGGAGAAATGTGCCAGCATAAGGCCGCACTTGACAAGCACCCTGCGTCCTCAGCAAGCACCACGAGACCTCCCCTCTGAGCTCAGACCAGGGATGCACATTCCCACCACTGTTGTCGCTACACGGCTGGATTTCCTGGCCAGAACAATGTGACCAAACAAACAGAGGCCATTGGAAAGAAGTGAAATGGTCATTTTTTGCCAATGACATAATAAGATATGTAGGAAACCCCACAGATTCCAGGAAAAAGTTATTAAAATAATAAATGAATACAGTAAAGTGGCAGGTTATAAGGTCAACATACAAAACTCCATTCTCTCAAAGAGCAAGCTAGCGGGAAGAGAAATGGGGAATATATTCCCATGTACAGTCATATCAAAAAGAATGAAATACTTTGGAATAAATTTAAGCAAAGAAATGAAAGATTTATATACTGATTATCTATTAAGACACTGTTGAAATACCGAAAGAAATGGAAAGCTGTTGTATGAGCATGGATCGCAAGGACTAATGTTACCTAAAGCAACAAAGATTGAAAGCAATCTGACAAAACCCCAGTGGCACTTTTCACTAAGAACAAAAAATCATGAGATTTATTCACAACTACAAGAGTCTGATAGAAAAAAAAAATCCTGAGAAAAAAGAAAATGGAAGGATCTTCCTCCTTGGTTTCAAACTATACGATAAAGCAACAGTAATCAGTAATGGAATGAAAACAGGACAGAAATACAGATCAGTGGAACAGAACCGAGAGCCCAGGAAGAACAAACACACATGTGGACAGCTGATTGCCAGCAAGGGCCCAGGACATGACAGGGGAAGGAAAGTCTCTCCAATAGATGGTGCTTGGGACAGTGGAGAGCCGCACACAGAGGAATAAGCTAGATCTCTGTTTCCGACTTTAATGATGCCAGAAAAAGACAGTCTCGGCTTTCAATCCAAACCAAAAAGATTAGGAGAAAAGCTGTAAATACTAGTTTTGAATTT